GTGTGTGTGTGTGTGTGTGTGTGTGTGTGTGTGTGTGTGTGTGTGTGGACTGAACTACAGGCACTAGCCTCTTGCCTCTGGCCCCGATATGTAGGACATATCTCTTCATCTCTCGATAACCCACAAGCTATCAGCCACAGTCAGGACTCTGTTCTACTGTAGCGTCTGTCTTTTTACTAGATAACACTATTCAAATAAATCTTCTTATTATAAATAGAAGCTTTTTTACCTTAAAGTGCACAGACATCTTAGTGACTCCTTAGCTACACACTGTGGATGACACAATGCAAACAATGCGTTGTGACCAGTGAAATATAGATACATGTCATTTATCTGGGATTTTTGGGGGTGTCTTGTGTTGTGATTTTTTGAACCATTATTTTGCTATTACACTACCAGTACTGCTCTAGTGATGGCTATATCAGTCAGTTGGTTGCTCCACCACTTTGGTCCAGACTGAAATGTTTTAGCAGCGATTGGATGAATTTGCATTCATTTTGGTATTAAATGTTCGCAGAGGATGACTCATCTCGGGCCACCATGAAAATTTCAACTTGCCACCTTTTTTTATCTTGACACGCTTTGAGTTAACTCGTCAGGGCTACGCCGCTGTCCTATTAATGCGTGTCAACTCGCCATGAAATCAGCAATTTAAAACGCCCGTGATTCTAATCCAATACATTTTTCGTCAAATTCAGTTAATATCTCACTGGATTGGCAAATCCCGGCTGCTATACTGTGACGTTTTTACTTGATAATACATCCAATAATTAAGGGGTTTGCAATGGACATAATTCATCATTGCTCTGAGATCAGGCTTTAACACATAGCTCTTTCTTACATCGTCTGGAGTTGTTCTACCGGAGCAGACAGAAAATAACGTTCTTGGTCATGGAAGCCCTCAGGTGTCGTTCTGGAAAGGCATTGAAAGTCATGGGGTTGTACATCAGGGCTGTGTTGCTGGAATGAGGACAGCTGCCACATCGGCAGACCTCAGCGGTATTTGTTCGTCTAGCCATGCTACTTTCCTGTGAGAGCAGCTCTGATTACGCATGTGGCATAGCATGACACACTGCCAACAGTATCTAACCCCATTACAAATGACCACCTGTTGACACCACGCAGGAGATGGAGTGTGTGTGTGTATATGTGTGTTTGCTTGCTGCACGCTGTTGATTCCTGGGGGAGATCCTCAGAGACAAACCACCACTAAGTGTACCAGTTATAAGTGAGTGAATACATCCCCTCTAGAAATACTGTTGGTTTGACAGAGCCAGCCCAGATATGTGACCTCCACTTCAACACATGACCTAAGAAAGAGTGAAGAACATGCAGAGAATAATTCCACGACGAAACACCTACTGATGTAAGAAGAAGAATAACTTTGTTTCAGTAGTCGGTAAAAAAACGATTTGATTTATATTCTGCATTACCGCCCACTTAAGACCCATACAAAGTAGTAGGACTCAAAGTTGGATAATTCATGTCCTGTGTTCAATCAATAATGCATCGGAATAGAGTGCAGGGATGAGTCCTAAAACCCGCAAATGAGTTCTCTCCTCTTGAAGTCAATGGGTCTTTGGTTAGACGTCTGAAATAAGGTCTGTGTTTAACACAAGCTTAAGAGAGTTTACCGTTGTGTTCTACGGTATATAAAATATGTCAGTAAATACCCCTCCTGTGAATTTAGAAGTTTTTACGTGTCTTAAAAAAGGCGGCTGCTAACGAGTGTCTAAATGAGACACCTAAAGGTCATCACGAGAACACGAGTCCTCCTTTAGCTTAGTGCTGGCTTACGTGACCAAGGTGAAGTCTGTTAGCTTTTTATTGTCTGATTGTATTCACGCTTCAGAAATCATGAAAGCGGTGTTCATTTGTGAAGATCTCGCTGAACAAAACTTCTAAGTATCAGAAACATTAAAAAAGTAATTGAAAAATCCCAATGGCTTTTTGTCGAGGGAACCAGTGCGATACCAACACACTGGTTGGCGTACAAAAATACGTCATCTTGCAGCACTCTATTGCTCTTCGTTTGTGTGTCAGTGTGTGCGTGTGGCAGCTAGTGACAGCCACAGCTTGGAGAGGCTGAGGTCATAACTAAGAAGCCAGCCTAACGGGGGACGAGAGACAAACCCTTACTTGTTTGTCTGTATGGATGTATCTGTGTGTGATAGACACACACACACACACACACACACACACACACTGCCCCAGTCACCTCTAACCTCCTCTCTTGGCTGCCCATGAGCAAACACACTTAGCTGTATTGGATTGTGTGTGTCAAAGTCGAAAAAAACACCTACATTTAAACACACACTCCTACTTCCAGCTATCAGACACCTCTGCTGGCACTCCCGCATCAGACATCCTTACACACACACACACACACACACACACACACACAGTCACACGCACACACAGTTATTGGCCTGGCTGACACTATCGGGTGCATTCTCAGTTCACTGACATTATAGTGAGACAGCCCTTAGCCAGCTGTTAAGACAACCTGTGCATTCACATCACTAGTAAAAAAAAATCAATTTGGGTGTGTTTGCACATTCAAACCTTTTTGAAGTAGTACAGCTATTCAGTACATATATCTGTTAACTGATTGTAGTCCTCATCATAACTTAAATGTACACATAATTTCTTTGGTGATGATTCCAAAATGTCTCCCTGAATGAAATACAACCAGTTTCTTAAAACCACTTTCCCTCCTTCTCTTCCAGACCTCCAATCCCATCCCGATCAAAAAGTCCAAATATGACGACTTTCCATCGCAAGTCCTGCTGGCGGACAAAGAGAAGCAGCACGACTGGCTCCAGTCCCTGTCCGCCTCCAATAAGGTTGGTGTTACGAAGCTCGGAGGGGGAGATGGTGATGATGATGAAGATAATGATGATGCATGGTGCATGAGATGAGGTGTCATGTAATATTATATAGAAGTTTTCGGATGAGGGTAGCTCTTAAATTTAGATTTGGCAAGCCATGCTAGCAAAGGGGGTAACTGTAGATGCCACGAGCCCCGCAGATTCACTTACTGAGACGGATAGAAGTAACACAGTATGATGGATGTCCCCTGTGAAGATCAATATTCCCCAAAAAATGTACACTGGAGATATGGTTCCAATGGAGGTATACTTAGAATGTCTTCAACTATTAATCTTCATACTGACCCCTCTCCAGTCACACACTCACTCTAGTCTCTACAGCACGATTACTTACCGTGGTATATTCACACCCTTTCAATCAATGGAATGGTCTCCATGAAAAGAACTGCAACCTAAAGCACTTTGTGACACTAATAAGTGACTCTTTATCACGAATAAGCCCTTGAAATATTCTACTGTCTAATTTTGCTTTTCTGGACCATACCCAAGGTAGAAAAGCAGTTCTGTGAACAAAACATTTCTAAGGCTGGGTTACACCAACAAGGATCAACTGAGGCCATGTCCACACTACTACGTTTCCATTTGAAAACACATATCTTCTGCTACGTTTACACTGAGCGGCCACATTACGCTCCCGAGGGCGGATACGTTTGAAAACTCCGGGGTTGCCTCTTCGTGTGGACGATCGTAAACGAATACGTTTGGAAACGATGACGCCCACACCGGCATTGGCTACTTGATTGGTTCTTAGCAGTCATGACGTGTCCTTCCCTGATTCGTCACACCTCTATCACGTGACCCTTTCCCGGAAGCTCACAAACAGCCTTGATTACCGATCGACTACCAGGTTAATTCAACATGGACAACTGATTACAGGCGTTGCTGACCTTGTTGTCTTTACTAGCAGCTGTTGTCCAGTTAAAGTCTGCATTATTATGGAGGAAGCAGCTGTTATTGGAGCGATTAGTGAGCGGCGTGACCAGCGGCGTTATCAGACCTACGGAGCGGCCGTCTGAAGTCACGTTAGAGACTTTGAGGAGGACGGTCACAAAACGGAGGACTTTCCTTTTCTTATTAATGCTAATTTTGTTCCGCCCAACTATTGTGAAGTCCACACACTAACTATAAAGGAACAAAACATGAATTGCTGTCCAGTACGACAGAGACTTCAGCCACCAGCAGAGCTACGAGTGAGAACAGAAACAATGAAACCGAGAGGGAACGAGTGACACGTGTGTTGACCACATTTATGGACCCATAATCTAATAAACCTTTATGTGTAAGTGTTAATATTAAAGTCAATTTGATGTGTGAGAGAGAGAGAGAGAGATAGACCCGCAGCGCTGTAACTAAGTCTGAAAAATAAAACTTCAAAAACTTTCCACGAAATGTGTCTGTTTGAGTTCATAGAGGTAGAGAAGTACCAAGCACTAACTTTCCTTATTACTGACTACTTTATTACATGTATATTACTCGTACTCGTCGTATTTTTTTAAACTTAGCAACCAATCTACTTCCTGTTTACACTGGCACCCACCATCATGCCCAGTGTACGTGAATAGTCACGTGATATTCATTTTCAGGCGTTGTAGTCTAGACGGAGATCATTTCGAAAATGATGCTGAAATGCCGTGTGGACGGAGACGATTTGGTTTTAAAACTCTGTTTTAAAACGAAAACATATTAGTGTGGATGTAGCCTTAGTCTAAGGGTAGTTCTAATCAGACTTCAGCAGAACTAGGTTTAAAATGGGTAAATCCAGATGTAAGATTAAGCAGAGCTCTGTTGCACAATTAAAAACGAATTCAAGAAAAGTTTATACCAACATTATATTAAATGTAATCAATTTGGAGATGCTTGCTTACCCAAATTTAAAAAATTAAAAATATAAATAAAAAGGGCTTGGTATCAAACCCTCAACAGTTCCCCACATGGTGTATGTTGCACAAAGTATCAGAGCTGTCAGGTACTGTAAAGTAAGCATAAATGTCTTATTAGATTCGTAATATTGTTAACATATTCTTAGATAAAATGTTTCCCTGATATAAATTGCTGTCATCTAATTTTACTTTTTTAGAAATAGATTTAGAGATGTTGCTTCTTTTGTTAAAGGAAAAAGTAATTTGTAAAAAAGCATGTTAATGTTTGTCAGAGTCAGGTATCATATGGGCAATAGCATCCCAACATGTAAAGCCATATCCATCCCGAACACAACTGTTACTGAGAGCCCTGGCTCTATCATTACTGAATGCAATTTCTTGTGATTTAAAGTACTATCACTGTCATTTTTTCAGGGGCTTAACTGCATTCAGCCCAGACAGAGGCCTTCAGCTTTCAGACCCTGGTCCCCCCACGTCTCTGCTGGTGACAAGGAACCATCCAGTCACCCCCTGGCCCTGCTGAGAGACAGGTGAGCCCAGCACGGCGTTGGACAACCGGGTCCACAATGGGCCGAGCTGCTCATAGATCACAAACAATGTAATATCTGGACTTGAGAGAAGCTGTTTTGTTCAGCTGGATCTGATGAGCTCCCAGCATGCTCTCTCACTTGTCTGGGTGGGCTGGTGTCAGAGGGGTCAAGTCTGACTATGCCACAGCCTCCCACACTCCACCATTCACACACACTCATGCTGTGGACACCCACTTGGCACGGCGCTGCCAGTGCAGGCTGCACCATTTCACTCTTGATCTGCCCAGTTTCTCATGAAGTGGGAGGAAAGAGCTGCAGGCACTTTATTAGAATGTTTCTCTTCCCTGGTTGGCTCAGGCAGCTCAAATCAGACCATACCATCTGGTACTGGCACAACTCAGCTGTTCTTAATGAAGTAACCTTGATTTATGTTATTGTACATAACCATCAAGAGACATAAAGTTAAAGTGTCTGGTGTCTTTTTAGCTTCTACAACTACAAGAGCATGGAGAAAGCTGTGGCCCCCAATGTCGCCCTGGCACCACTGGCCCTGGGGAAGGTGGATCCCATGTCCCCGTCGGTACCCAGCACCTCCCATCCAAGTGGGGGCGAACCCCCAGGCGAGGGTGCCAACTCCAGGCCTCGCAAGAGGAGAGCCACAGAGGACCTCCAGCCTCCGGGGCCAGAGGCCCCCTGCCCTCCGTCCTCAGCTGCCAGCAAGCCACCGGCACCACTGGTGCCTCAGGACGACAGGGACTCTGAGGTGGAGATCGAAGTGGAGAGCCGCGACGAATGTAAGCAAAAAACTCAATACCATCAACTAGATGTTTTTTTGTTATGGGGCTCAGCCAGATTAGAGTCCTGACCACCGGAAAGATGTCAGTTCATTCCTCTCTCTTACTCTGGTCTCTCCCAACAGTCACTTCGTCCCTGTCCTCCCTGTCGTCACCATCCTTCACCTCCTCCAGCAGCTCAGCCAAGGACCTGAGCTCGCCCGGTGTCCAAGGGCCCATCTGCACCGTCATGTCGGTCGAGGGCACCGCACCGGCAGCCGCACCCGCCGCCCCCGCCGTGACCCCGTCAGAGCTGGGACTGGAGTCAGAGCTGGAGAGCCTGAGGCAGGCTCTGGACAGCGGACTGGACTCCAAAGAGTCAAAGGAGAAGTTTCTGCACGAGATTGTTAGGATGAGGGTGAAGCAGGAGGAGAAGTTGGGATCGGCCTTGCAGGCCAAACGCAGCCTCCAGCAGGTAGGGCTTCGCTCATATACGACGTGTATCAGAAATATGTTCGTCCCTCATCTTTCCCCGTGTCAATTGACAACAGTTTGAAATGTGTGCATTCAGTAAACAGATAGAACTGAGACGTGTTTAGTCCGGCTCAGCACAAAGACTGGAATACAACCTCCAACAACTCTAAAGCCAGAGAGCCACAGCGCTGTAGACTGAAACCTGTACTCTCATCAGGTCATCAACTTCCTCTGAACTGGTTTGACACTTAAACCTTTATTCAAGTTACGTCATGGATTCGGAGACATCTCTGCATATCAAAATGACTCAGCTTTTGGAAAATAAAAATATGAACACTATTCAGATTTGAAAGAATAACGCTGTCATCGTGTAGCGCTGTCATTTTAACAGTTGAAGGGAAAGTATTAAGTATGAAGTATTTGTGATGGACTTGGACTCGTCTGGACTTTGCTTGGAATTGTTTTCTTGATTAACTTGAGACTTTATTTTAGGCTTGACTTGGACTCGTCTTTATTGAATTGAATCTTTGGTTGAACATAAACTTTTGAGACCTGACTTGCATTCAGCCCAGACGTTTTTAAAACAGCTCTCCCAAGAAAACTATGAAGGGATTTGGAATGCATTTGAAATGTTCATACCTTATATAGGAGCAAACTGCTTCCCCTAAACCCCCCTCTGTGTCATTTAAGGCCACCCCGGTGATAAAGTCTCTCTATTCTCACACTGATGTGCTACACACACATAGTATGTGACTTCATTGTAGTGAATGCACCGTGCTTTGTATCTCTGTTGGCTGAGAAACAGGGATTTCCCAGCCCTAGCTGGCAGCTCATAACAAACTTTAAGCTTCTCCCTGCGTTCTTCAAATCAGACGAGACAGAAAGTTTTCAAAGTTGGCACAAATTACTTGAGCTTAGGCATCAAAATGCAGAAGTGGATTTGAAAGTCATTATCACTGTCAGCAAAGCTTAGCGTGAGTTGGCAAGTGATAACAATGAGAGCGGATGTTGCTGCAAAGGGAAAGGCCAGACTTCCATTTTTATTTTTGGTCTTGGACCGAGAACAAGAAAATGCCGACGAAGGAGTCTGTGTGGGTGAGCGGCATAAAATGCCTCCTAAACTGAGAAAAGGCAATTCCAAATGGACGGCATTCCACTTTCACTTTCCATCAGTGTTCAGAGGCGAGGCAACATACATCCAACCGACCTACAGGCTGAACCAAAAGCAGTCTGACTTTAAAAAAGCACTGGTGGAGTCCCTGCTGTGATTAGCTGAACTAACCCTGATGGCGTTGAACGAGTGCATATGTAAAGCCTCTGATGTGTAAAGGGTGTGATGGGGATTTGCACTTTTTTGTAGGACCAACAAAGCTTGATAACAGACACGTTTGTACTGCTAAGTTCTCATGAGAAGGCTGTGGATGTGCCACACACACGCACACACACGCACATGTTCTTCCAGTGATTCAGAGGAAGGAAGCCTCACTTCTGTCAGCCCACGCTTTGCCCTAACCCCTGACATGGCTCAATGTAAACACTGACATGGACACTGCAGCCTCCTGTAACACGGTACAGCTCTCGGGTGTCAACAGCCCAGAAACAAAGCAAAACAGCCATGTGACACACATCCACCGGCATTCACATTGGTGGCTTCAGCATCGGGGGACACTGAATTTTCTCAATAATTCAATCAAATTATGTAAAAAATAAAAGAAGGAATAAAGCTAATTTCCTAAGTGATTAGTTGCATACTCATTGTATAAACCCCAGAGAGACAATCTGCAATCTCTTCTTCCCAGGAGCTGGAGTTCTTGAGGGTGGCCAAGAAGGAGAAACTGCGGGAGGCGACCGAGGCAAAGCGAAACCTGAGGAAGGAAATTGAGCGCCTGCGAGCCGAGAGCGAGAAGAAGATGAAGGAAGCCAACGAGTCGCGGGTCCGCCTGAAGCGGGAGCTGGAGCAGGCCCGGCAGCTGAGAGTGTGCGATAAAGGCTGCGAGGCCGGGCGTCTTCGTGCAAAGTACTCGGCACAGGTCAGTCAGCTCGCACGTCGCTGTCCAAAGAATCTGTCGATTCAATAATAAAGTAATGAAGATGAGATGAAACTTTTATACGCACTTGATGATTCGTTTAAGGGACATGGTGCATGGGTTGAACTGAATGTAGACAGATGTCTAATGTGCAGATTGTCTAGACCATTATGTCAACACCCTCAGAGTAATTGCAGTGTTTCAAAGTTTTACTGTCTCAAATACTCTCAAGGTCAGCGAAGGAGAAGGCAAGGGAAAAAGAGACGTTTCCTCTTCCCCACTCAAAAATAAATGGGTGTAGCCTCAAGTGCACAGACGAAGGATACACCCCCCCCTCCCCCCCCTGAAAGGAAACAGGAAGAGACATTGACTTCCCTCAGGCACCATGGGAAATGCAGATTAGACAAAACAAGAGGGAGGTTACGCTCTCAAGCTGCGTCTGCATACCTCCTCTGCAGAGACCGCGGCCGTCTTTGGAAGGCCGTCATTAAGACGTTCAATTCAATTGCGACGTGCAGCCTTGGCTCAGGACAGGAAGAGAGAGCTGAGGCTCTCAGCGGTATCTTTGTGCTCTCAAACGCCACATTCCTAAAGAGACCACCTGTTTCTAAACGTCAGCTTGATACAAGAGACTGTGTTGAAATATCAGCAAAATCTAGGAACTCTTATTTCATGACGAGGTTTCTGAGAGCAGTCATTTTGACTCAAATCAAATAAACTAAAATTAGGAAGCCGATCTGCCACTGCAGCAAGATCATTTTACTGGAAACATCCAGATTGCTGAAACGTAAGGTTTGTTCACCAGCTCGTGGCCGTACCCATTCCCAAAATATCTGCCAGAGAAGCAGTTCCCAACCACTTAATATGGAATTATTTACATATGAAAAAATGCCTCTTTATGCTTCACTCCAGCTAGGTTTCATATTAGGATGCTCAAAATCCCCCTCAATCAGAAGAGTTAAGACAGCCAAGAAGTCTCGAAGGGCTTAAAAAGACTGCTGAAAAGAGGTCTACATTAAGGCAAAGGACCAGAATGCCTTGGGAGTGCAGTTCCCTACCTCTCTTCAGCCCTAAAGAAAGGGCACCACCCTGATTGGCCAAGAGGGGAAATGCACCAAGCTGCTCTCACTTGTTAATTAGGAGCCGCTCCCCTCACCCTGCTCAACAGGGGATCTGAGACGATCCTTCAGCTCATTCAGCTAAACCAATTGGGAAAAGGGAAATGACAGCAAGTACCAAAGAATGAGGGACTGCTACCAGGTTGCCATTAAAACAAGAGTAAAGTGATCATATTGTGATCACAGGATTGCATTCTGGGTTTCATTGTTGCCATGGAATTCCTGGAACCTGTTTCAGTCTTTGATCATTTATTTGGCAATTCAGAAATTCACTTATCAGACATATTAGAATGTATCCAACGTCTTGTTTCACGCATTATACGGTGAGGTTTAAGCCTAAATAGCACAAGTTTATGACGCCCGGAGGGGCCCCGGACAAATCCTCTCGCACGGCTAATGCAGCCGCCGCAACCTCGGCTTTTCTCCGCTGCAATTCTTCAGCCGTGTACCCCTGGATACCCAGAGGTGGAGGCTAGAAAGCCAAGTTAAAACAGCCTGTAGTTCTTCCTCGCTTCCAACTACTTCACCGTCTCGTCAAATGATGGTGCTGGACGCAGGAAGAGCAACAGATTTTGCAGCAGGAGAGCTCTTTCTAGGTCAATAAGGCACAATGAGGAATTTATTGCTTCAATCGACTACATTTACCATCCACATAAAAGATGGGGAATATTCCCCTTTACATTTGGGATCTAAAAGGTAGTTAAGGGCTGGAGTTGGAACATTGGTGTCTAGAACAGGGTGATGGGGCCACATCGTGTAAACATGCATATGAAATAGCCGCGTAAGCAGCAGTCTATGTAAACAGCTCAGTTAAGAATAGGTATCATGATCAATGGTTGCACCATGACGTGTAGTCACATCTGCTTCCTGCCATGTGTTTTCCAGATCGAGGACCTCCAGATGAAACTGCAGCACGCCGAGACGGACCGCGAGCAGCTCCGAGCCGACCTGCTGCATGAGCGGGAGGCCAGGGAGCACCTGGAGAGGGTGGTGAAAGAGCTACAGCATCAACTCTGGCCCAAATCCCACAGTGACAAGGAGGGGGCGCCCAAGGACACGCCAGCCGACAACTAATCCAGCAGCCAACCTCGCCGCCAACCATTTGCCCAGCCCCCCCCATCACCACAATCCCTAACATCCTCTGCCCAAATCAGACCATAAACACACCCAGCCACCAGCCGGCCACATCGCACCACTGTCCATCCCGCTCGCCCTCCAGAACGCAATGATGAAAGACTCTCGATCAGAGAGAAGAAACAAGGACCTGTCTCCTCATCCATGAAAAGTCAAGTGAGCGGTTTCCTTGGACTGGAAATGGCAAAGTACAATGCTGCATCAAGGAAACAGGTGTTTCTAAATCAAGCACTGACTCGCACCTTCCAAACTCACAGAACTACACGAATGAAAGAAAAGCAGCACAACATGTGATTGTGCCTGACAAGAAAATGAGGTGAGACTTTGGGACAGACGTCTGTGATAATAAATGCTGAGAGATGATCATATTATATTGGAGTTTTACAGATGTTGAGAGGTGTTACAGAGGTGCGTCCAGGAAGGCGGGGACTCACGCTCAGCCCACACTTCCCCAAAAAGTCTCTGCCACCGTCCCTTGCCATGACGAAGATAATGGAGGATTTGGAAGACATTCTAAGCTATTTAAGAGACTACATAGCGAAATGTAAAGACAGAAAGGACAGTTTCTTTATCTCTCTGTGCTATTGAAGTTTGAAAAATATAAAAGATAGAAATGAATCAGAAGATGAACAAAACAAGCAAATGAACTTCCCACAGTGCCACCGTGGTTTTGTCGGGTTTTTTTCAGGAAGCCATCCCAGTCCACTGAGGGGGAAAGCATTGAGTTCAAAGTTCAAGCGACCCGTCTTTTCCTCCCATTGTTGTTTTTTAAAATCATATATTTCTCCGAGCAGTGGGTGGGCTTGTATTTGGGCTGATATTTTTCTCTGGGTTGGGAATTGGAAATAAAAACATGCTGTGTTAAAGGCACCTTTCTAGAGAGCACTTGTTTTGGATGATCGATACCAATATCCGACAGTCTCAGTGTTGCTCCACTAAGTCACACACTGGTTGCCGTTTGATATTTTAAGCATTTGGGTCAAAACCCTGAAGTGTGTATCTTGTAAAGATAAAATACTCCAGATGTGAGCGGGGCCTTGTTTTCTGGTCTTGTAACGCTCGAGTGATGAAAGCCGGCATGTTTTTTTACTCCAACTGACATCAGACACCATCATCTATGACATCATAGTGGGCTGGATGGGGCGCCCTTGGCAAGAACCGCAAAATGTTCATTTTAATTAAATTAAGGTATGTAAATATAAATGTATGTTTTGTTTCTTTTGACTTTACAATAATGAATCGCACTTTGTCATAACGAGATACTGTTATAATGCATTGTACTCCCACTATTGTCTTCAATCTTACTTTGAAAACATCATCGTATACATGACTGCTACCATATAAATCCAGTAAGCATTTTGTTGATAATACTGTTGTTCTGTTTCCTTAAAGGCAAAGTCTTGTAAATAAACGGAAAGAAAAGAAGGCTCTGCCTGTTGCTTGCTGATGCAGTCTGGGATTGTTGGAAAGTTTCTCCCGCTTTTGTAATATTATTGACACAAATGTCGCTCGAGCACCCGGTTACGACTCCCAAACAATTTGGCAAAACTTAATTAACAGCATGCGTCACATGTTGGAAGAATAAAATCCGATTTTATTCTGGAGGCCGTCACACAGTGGGTACAATGCAATCACAATGTACATTGTGTTAAATGCTACATTTCCTTTTTGGTTGTTGATGTTGTTTTTAAACGTGGAGATATTTTATTGCTTGTCTGTTATGTTCACTTTTTTTTCCAATTGAAAACTCATATTTTCTTTATGCATGAAATTTGAGTTTGCCATACATATAGTCAGTTATTGGGCATTGATGCTGTACATGTAAAGGTTTTATTGTGTTATGCAATTTAAAGCAATTTGTCTTATTTAGAAGATGAAAAAGGTAATAAAAAAAAACAACACACAGTATATTGCTCTTAAGAAAAACAAACTTCACACTTGCAAAAAAAACAAAAGACGACAAAAAAAAAGAAGAAGAAGAAGAAGAAGAAAAAAAAAAGTTGATGCAATGCTGGACAACCTTAAGTGCCTGGACATGGGCCAAAGGTTTCCAGAGTAGGAAAACTGATGACAAAGCTGTCGGGGCTGGGCCTCTCATCAACTTCCTGTTTGCAGGTTTCAAATTAAAAGCCCCTCCCTCGCTCAGCAGCTCTTTTTATCAGTATTCTTAAAACCAACCAGTTTACAAACTTTGTGTTGAACAAATGCTAGAAGCTTGAGGATTGTTTTTCCCTGAATGAGTGCTTTATTTTCTTCATCTGAAATCAATGATATGCATGTTCAAACAATTTTTATAGAAGATCTTGAAAAGCCACTTGCTTCGGCGAATTGTTACTTTGGGTTGTATATAGAGACTGTCGAGGATAATAAAGAGGGCATTACGTTAAAAGCCCTTTTCTTACCTAACATTATTGATGTTGCTCAGAGATCGACACTGCGTCTGCGACTTTGGCAGACCTACAATTGGTACATTTTGTAGTTGTTTTTACACTCAAAAGAGTTGATAGCCTATGTGTAGTTTACTTTACTCATGGTTTTCTACAAAAGAAGGGAGACAATAACGACATCGGCTCTTCACTCTCCCACGCAAAACGTAAAAAAGCAGTTTAACAGCGTCTTGTTTTCTAAAGGACAACCGTTTTGCTAAATAATGGACAGTAAAGCAGCAATAACAGTCCATATTAATAGACAAATAACTAGCCAGTGTGAAGATTTGAATAAGAATTTACAAATGTAAATATTTTTTTCATTTATAATATTGTATAATATATGTACATGGTGTTTCCTTTTTCAAAAAGAAATCTTTTCTTACAATAGCTGTCTTGTTTTTTTTGTTTGGGTTTTTTAAAAATTTGATTTGTGTTTTAACTGAACAGCAGTGCGTAAGAGACTATTCCCTACATACACATTTTAATCCATTTCTTTTTCTTTTTTTTTTACTGTAGAGTCTTTATATTGAATGACTTTTTTCACCAGTTCATATATATTTTTAACAGTATGTTGAGTATCAGATAGCAGGCCTACCGTATGGGTCACACACGACTACGCCACCTTGCAGATTGTTTCCCCCTCATCCTCATGTATCTTTTTAGCCCTGTGCTGCTGCTAATACTATACAAACCTTACAATTCTAGAACTATTTTTATGTAAGAGGTAAATGTAAGCTTTTCCATTCATTAATGCCACATATACAGTATGAAAAAAAGCTTAGCTTCTTCATCTATCCTCCTTGTTTCCCTCATCCTTTCACGCCTTTTTCCTCATCCCTCCTTCAGCAACACCCTTCCTCTTCTCTCACGACACGGACTATATTGTAAAGTAAAGGACTTTATGAGATTATGTTTGAAAATAGCTCTGCTTATATACTACAGTGACTGAATGTACAGTGTATAGATGCATTACCAGAAATAAAGTTGTTTGTCCAGATTGAATGACCCAGTTTCTTATTTGTGCTGCCTGTTTGGTTAACAATAAAATATATAACAATATCCTTTAAATATGGCAGACTGTGTGCCTTACTGATGAATTCAGGTCAGTCTGTTGAAATGAAATATTTGTTGTCCAAGGAGGGGATCTTGTCCTGATGTCAGGATTTCAGAATCAGAGAGACATACTTCATTTCTTCTCAACCATGAGGTCTGGACTATCAAAGGGATCTCAACAGTAACAATACTGTGTTTCTGCTACAAAAAGGTTAGTGTTCAAAAAGGTTCTCCAGTCCTTGCTTCATTCTTGTGAAATGCAGCCCAGTAAAAAGGAAGGGAAAGGTCTTCTTAAAGGGACAGTGTGTCACTCCTTTCATTCCAAGACTGTGGAAACCTGAGCCACCGAGTGCAAAACTGTTAAAGCCGTTGGCTTCACTCAGAGGCCATCTTTACCATAATAACACACTTAAGGAGCAACGTAAGTCAGACGGCAGTTTAGCTGCGGTTTAGCAATCAGCGGCTCATTTATCGCAGTTTCACAAGCATGTCGGAGAACGTCGGTGGCCTTCAGGTAACGTAGGCTCAATCACTGGAACCAGTGTTTGGTTTGTTCCTTCTGGCCCACTGTAGAAACATGGTGGTGCAACATGGCGGGCTCTGTGAAGAGGACCTGCTCCCTATTTATACACTAACGAAAACACAATTCTAAATATAATATTACATTACTGCCTATATATCCACACAGATTCTACACACTGTTCCTTTAAACTAAGCATAATTACCTGTGGAGATCAGAAGCCAACACTTCAGGGAATCACGGATTCAGTTTCTTCTTTTTGTATTCTGGCGGATTTCAGTTTTGTGAAGAAATCAAGAGTGAAAAATAACTCTCTCAGTCGAATAGAGTCACTAAAAATGGGACTAATTTTGATGTTAGACAAAAGGCTGCAGGTAATCAAAATCCTCCTCTTGGGACCATGAAAGGGAACCAAATGGCGCGTTAATCTGGTCAAAAAATATTATGTATATATTTTGCAAATGTTGTTTTTGGGGCAAAAGTTCCAATCTGGAACTAAAGCTGGTGATATGAAAATATGTCTTCTCTTTAAAAGATAAAAAAAGGACCAAAATTGAAGCAGCACTTTAGGCCCTAGTGTGGGTCAATCTTCAAAAGAAATGGCGCCTGCATTTCCTATAATGCAACTGAAAACTGTCCATTGTTACACTCCGTGCCTTCAGTTTGTAACTTGCATGTTTTCTACTATAGTTTCCCAGCTGAGATAACCCTGATGACATCACCATGACATCGACAGGGTTATTTTCTCAGACTTGACAAAGCTCCTCCACAGCCTCAGAAGACATTTTACAACTGACAGCAGGTTGAGTTCTCCTCACAACGAGTAAACAATGCCGAGTAAACAATGCCCCTTTAACTCTACTATTTTGGCCACGTCTATCAAATATGAGTGTTATATGGGTGGCACTTAGCGTTCTCATGCAAACAAACAGATTTCCTGATACTGACTGACATAGATCAATACATGCAGATAGGATCAAAACGTAAAAACTGTATGTGAAGTGAATTCATCTTCAGTTTGCATTATTATAAACTGTAAATGTTTAAACTTTGAACTTACAAATGTGAGCATTCATGGGCTAAAAACCACAAAGGAAAGACATCTTAAAGAAGTTGGTTTCTGCCTCACAGGCTTGAATCCCTAATTACAGCATTCGGAGAACAAAGTGCAGCAAATAAAAGCAGCTGAACACACTGAGACAAAGACGAAACAGAAGGAAAAATACATTAAACGTGTGATGTCAGAATATCAGATGACTTATATGTATCATATACAACCCCTTTCAGCTAAAACAAAGTGGAGTTGCTTCAGTGCAGTGCAGAGGCCACGTTTCAGCACACCAAAACAACAATAAACATTCCTCTAGTTCCACCCTCTCATCCGGTTTATGTACACAGATATGGTTTTAGGGTGCTGGAGAAACCTCCATAATTACAATGAAAACCTTAAAACAGAAAAGATGAGCTGCAAACACTTAACTAGAAAGGAATGTGCACTAGGTTTCAAGTTAACGCCCCCTTGGCCTGACAGCATTTGATGAAAACAATCATTAGTGTGTACACACACACACACACACACACACACACACAGCAAGGGTTACATGTTTGTGTGTGCACAGTACAGATTTATAGTATCCAGTGCAGGGAGAAGCAGCAAGTGAAGTTGGTTTCTGGTTTGGTTAACAGCATACCTGCAGCTCTCTGAAATACAAATTAAAGACCTTCAGACACTGCCTTAAAGTAAATTCCATCCTAAAATAATGACAAAAGAAGCTGGCTCAGACTGCAATTATGAATGTGTAAACTATAAATGAATTAAAGAGGATGCTAGAAACTGAAAGATAACAGCAGTGAGTAAACCCAGGTGAATATTCGCTAGCATTGTCTATTCTACTCCAGTCAGAGGCTACAAAGAGTCTCCGGCCCTGAGAGACCGACCCGGTCTCACGCCCAACACGTCAAGTACCGTGAGTACCGGGTCAGTGCCCCTCGTAGTTTGATACTAACGCACCCACGCACCCTTTAGTGTTTATGAGATGGAACAGGCTTATAACAATCTCGAGAATGGTTAGAGCAACTGACGTACTGTAAAGAATGAGAAAGGCCAAGCAGGGCGTGAGGAGGATGGCTGGATTAACCAAACACAGGACTTTCACCCAGGAGACCACTGGTCATGTGCTGTGAGAAACCAAGTCAACGTGGACTTATTTTACCTCACTTTAGTTACGGAACTTCCTGACTTTACCAATGCCAGTTGTGTAACAAGTCTAGTTATTTTAGGTTACATAATACGTAATAGAATTATGATTTTGATTTTGTGCCTGAACCTAATCACATAGTTTTGTCAAAACTACGTTGGAGGTTTATTTTCAAAAGTGACTGTATTCATGTAACAAGCACAAACTGTAAGTTTTCTGTGAACACGGAATTCATATTGGAAGGACATGCTTGTATGCAGAGATGGGCAGTATTTCTATTACTTGTATTTGAAATACGTATTTCAATTACTTTTGAGTATTTTGTCATTTGTATTTGATAGGGCCGATAAAAATCGAATGTAATTTGTAACAAAATACTTTAGAGTGGAGTAATTTTGTATTTAAAATACTCAAAATACTTTCTTCACGAATCAAAAAACAGTTGACGAGTTCAGTCTTCAGATCTTCAAATTCAACGGATTGTCTGATTGTCTGAGTGTGACAGATGTCAACTAGCTTGATGTATAATTGATGTCTGGGTCTGGCTACATAGCCTATTGTATATACATGGTGATGGTTATAATATCAAGCTAGCGATCGATGCTAACATGCTAATGACGCTAGCATGCTGTCTAGGCTAGTGCATAGCCAGTGTTTAGCAAGTTAACTTATCATTGGAGTAACTAGCTATAGGAATAGAGAGATTGGGAGCTTGTATGGTCATGATAACCTTATCAAGAGATGTCTGACCATCTAATCTTGCACTGTATTACATGTTATAACCTGGAGGACACCAGAAAAGACCTGCATTCTCTTCAGCAGTACCCACTTATCAAGCTCCTTTTTGTTTGATTTAACACAACCCTCCCCTCTTCAGCTCCGGTTGAGAGACTGTTCTCGTTTGCAGGAATAATATTCCATCCGCACAGGAGGCGGGTAACACCAGAAATATTTGAAAAGTTAGTTGTTCTTAAAGGCAACTAAACTGGCTACTCAGTGGTTGGGTCTCAATAACCAAAATGGAAGGATTATTATGTCATAAAGATGTCAGTGTGAACCTGTATGAGACACTTAACTGTAATATAGAACTACAGTTGTGTGAAAAAGTGTTTGCCCCCTTCCTGATTTCTTATTTTTTTGCATGTTTGTCACACTTAAATGTTTCAGATCATCAAACAAATTAAAATATTAGACAAAGATAACACAAGTAAACACAAAATGCAGTTTTTAAATGAAGGTTTTTATTATTAAGGGGAAAAAAAAATCCAAACCTACATGGCCCTGTGTGAAAAAGTGATTGCCCCCTAAACCCAATAACTGGTTGGGCCACCCTTAGCAGCAACAACTGCAATCAAGCGTTTGCGATAACCACTATATTTTACTGTTGGTATGATGTTCCTTTTCTGAAATGCCGTGTTACTTTTACGCCAGATGTAATGGGACATACACCTTCCAAAAAGTTCAACTTTTGTCTCGTCAGTCCACAGAGTATTTTCCCAAAAGTCTTGGGGATCATCAAGATGTTTTCTGGCAAAACTGAGACGAGCCTTTATGTTCTTTTTGCTCAGCAGTGGTTTTCGTCTTGGAACTCTGCCATGCAGGCCATTTTTGCCCAGTCTCTTTCTTATGGTGGAGTCATGAACACTGACCTTAATTGAGGCAAGTGAGGCCTGCAGTTCTTTGGATGTTGTTCTGGGGTCTTTTGTGACGTCTTGGATGAGTCGTCGCTGCGCTCTTGGGGTAATTTTGGTCGGCCGGCCACTCCTGGGAAGGTTCATCACTGTTCCATGTTTTCGCCATTTGTGGATAATGGCTCTCACTGTGGTTTGCTGGAGTCCCAAAGCTTTAGAAATGGCGTTGTAACCTTTTCCAGACTGATAGATCTCAATTACTTTGTTTCTCATTTGTTCCTGAATTTCTTTGGATCGCAGCATGATGTCTAGCTTTTGAGGATCTTTTGGTCTACCTCACTTTGTCAGGCAGGTCCTATTTAAGTGATTTATTGATTGAGAACAGGTGTGGCAGTAATCAGGCCTGGGTGTGGCTAGAGAAATTGAACTCAGCTTTCCAAAGATGTGATAAACCACAGTTAATTTATGTTTTAACAGGGGGGGGCAATCACTTTTTCACACAGGGCCATGTAGGTTTGGATTTTTTTTCCCCCTTAATAATAAAAACCTTCATTTAAAAACTGCATTTTGTGTTTACTTGTGTTATCTTTGTCTAATATT